CACCAAGGCGAAGGAACGCTGTTCGGTGCAGTTATTATTATTATTAAAATGTTTTCTATTCTTTCCACATTACCATTTGTCAAGTCGTTGGATCGCATGCTAACATTTTGGCATACCAGATTCGTATTCGAAAGAATGACTCAAGTCGATTTTCTTTCCAAGTGGTGAGACCAGTTTTCGTATTTGCGATGTGCTGTTTGACAAAATAACGAAAACCATTCTCCAACTTTTCCTTGCTTGGCCATTCAAACTGTTCATCACTGAAGTTTTCGACCATGAACCGAAACTCTGGCGGTATGGGATTTCGGCTATTATTATTGTAAACATTTTCGGCCAATACCGCATTGAAGCAATCGAAGAAGAACTGTCGACGATCCCGTCGCAAAAAGAACTGACGATCTTCATTATCGAGTGCTTCATTCACCTTGAATAAAATCAAAAGTGAGGCCAATGAGGCAACTTCCGTCATTTGAAGACTGCGCTCAAAGAATATTTGCGTCAGAACGAATTTTTTTTTTTCTTCTCTTACGTCATCGTATACTGGCGAATCGTTGTTATCTCTCTTTCTTTTCATTGTCGAAGAATTGATTTGTATCGAAAATAAAAAATAGACAAAAATTTAGAAAAAATGAACCAAATATAGCATAGATCACAAACACAATAAGATAAAACTTTTCTATCACAAATCAAATGAAACAGTAATGAAAAACGCATCATAAATATCACGTCTTACATCAACTAAGTGACTCTGTGTTCTAAATCGAATGATGAAATTTATTTCCAATGTGACATCAAATTTTTTCCCGATCGAAATGTTGTTGGAATATTCACAGTAAATTTTATCAACACTGTTATTTCGAAATTAAAACAAAAATGAACACAAAACCAACTGTGAATATGTCCATTCCACATCGAACACACAAAATCATTGTTAAAATGAAAAGCCACGCTATAAACACTCACATATAATTCTCAAGAAATCCTATTGAAAACAAAACAAAGTTTTATTGTAAACAAAATCGGTTGGTGCGATAGTTGTTTCAAAGTGATGGAAGTTGTTTATACTAACAATACTGTCACACGATGCGAGCACATTTTTAATACATATGTAAGAATAATTATTCTTACGGACACATATAAATGAAAATCGTTGGATTTGGTTTGACACATATACACCGCGCGAATAGAAAATTGTCAGAAAGATGTCAGTTGCATTTCGAAAATTTAAAATACAAATTTTTGGAAGTTATATTATTGGAAGTGAAAGAAACAAATGGATCCATTCCATTGGAATTCGTAATATTGATTGAAAACCATGCACATAATCTCTGTTCCATCAGAATGGGCCAAAAAACGTTACATTTTTCAACGTTAGAATGTACTTAAAACATTACAAATATGTTTGTTGAATATTTCATTTACTGTAAACTTGAATTGTGTTTCACTCTATTTGTTACATTTCATGAGAAATATTGCTTTTTCCGAAGAATTGTCATTAAACGCAATCGTTTGAGAGCACGTTTGTCGTTGCGCACGCACTCAATGTACCTGCTATTGATCACATCACACTATTGTTCTGTAATAGCTTTGCACAAATATTTAGCCTTCGACAAAGTAATAATATCGCGGGAGCATTGAGTTTTAATACTATTTTGTGTGTGTGCATGTGAATGTTTTCCTCGTTTCTTTTTTTTTTTTTTTGTTAAAAAACTTTTTGCATTCAGCTCTAATTTGAGATTTTAATATTTTATTAAAATTTATTTGAAATTAATTTGTAAATGAAGTCGACAAAATACAATTATAATAAATCTTTTGTTGATGCAATGCCTACACAACCGAGGTTCCACAAAAATGTGAATTCATCATCACATCGGCAATCTAATGCAATGAAGGAAAACACATTCATTACAAATATTGACAGTAGTAATTGTATTCGGCCAACTGGGGGAAATAACCAAAATATTGGATATTTCTATCATCAAACGCAGCAAATTGGTACTGGAATAACCACCCACAGCAACAACAGTAGACAAAGATTCGCGCCATATCCACCTTTTAAGCGTTCGTATGCACACGCTTTAATGCAACCCATGAACATTCGATACTACAACTATCAATCCCAAATTCAAAAACAACCAACATTGAATCATGTGAATGTTATTGATCAAAGTTCACTGAATACGTCACCGAACGAGTTTAGTTATAGGTAAAGTATTATTATACAACAACTATTTTTTTCTTCGAAAGATTTAAAAATAATTATTTTTTGTTTATATTAAAGTTCAAACCTTCAGCAAGGAAATATACATCTTGGAGCAACATCTATAGCAAATATGAATATATCCAGTATGAACGCAAATCGAAGTTCTCCGTATGAGAACAATTCAAAAGCATGTGTAACATTGCAGATCAGTAATTTAGACACCACCATAGAAGAGAATGTTTTAAAGCAAAATTTAATCAATCGTTTAAAACCCATTACGACTGTTTTATCTATTTATTTTGAAAGTTTATCCGTTGCAAAAATAAAGTTGCCTTCTGATCATCAGGCACGTCAGGTTATTGCGTACTTGCATCGAAAGAAAATTGGACACAAACGCATAACAGTTTCTTTTACTCGTGAATCATCAACATTAGATTCGTCAACTCTGAGATGTCAAGTTGCAGGGTTACTAAAGGTGAGTTTTATTTTGGTTTATTAATGTGACTTTGTATTTTTATTTTCACTAAAATATTTTTTTAAAGGACATACCAAATTACAAATTGTCCATGTATAAATTTCGTGAGCTGTTTCAATCACGATTCAAAACGTCAATCAGTGTTGTTGACTTACACGAAATGAAAGAAATTTGCACAATAATTGGAAACAAAAATGAAGAATTTATTACTCTACGACCAGGTAAGAATGTTTTTTCTCTTAGTTTATGATTTAAAAAAATAATAATAATATACAGCGTTCCTTCGCCTTGGTGGTTTATTCAAATTAACTTACAAATAAAAACTTCTTAGATAATATAAAAACTTCTTTGACCCGATCCATTAACAAATACCTTATTGCCCGTTGCCTGATTTTGATTTTCCAGAACTAATCAATTCTATCGAAAATAGTGAGCTTATGGAATGTTTTCAACATAGCGTTCCCTATTGCACACTGCATTTTGTCAAAACTCATCGTGGTTGGGCTGAACAAGAGATCGATCCCCTTCCTAATGTTCAAATGACGATTTCTCAAGTGCGCGATATTATTTTTGCTTTGCTTAAGGTAATTTAACGTTAAGGTATTTTTTTAAGGATATTTTATTTGAATCATCATTTTATTTTCAGAACCATGAAAGTATTATCCCAGTTGCAAGCATCGTTCATTGCATACAATCGGAATTGAGTATAACTTTGGAAAGAAATGAAAATGGTGTTAATTTTGAGCATTTAATCAGTTGTGTTCAAGGAATTCAAATTCAGTCGAATAAGTTCAGTATAAAAATTTTAAGTTGGTCAAATTCAAATGAAATGTCGCCAAAAAATCGAGAAATGATGGCTGAAGATGTTCTTGGCAACCGTTATTCGAAATATAGTAATACAACTGACTCATTTACTCAAATTTCACGGGAAATCGTTGAATTGATCAAGTTATCACCAAAGGCTACATTAAAATTCAGTCGTTTTATCCCTGCTTATCATAATCACTTTGGAAAACAGTGCCGTGTAGCGGATTATGGATACACAAAGTTGATTGATCTCTTCGAAGCATTGTCATCAGTTGTACAAGTAATGGGTGAAGGTGAAAATCGTCAAATTACCTTGACCCATAAAGTGCAAATGCAACGTTTTAAGACAGATCTATTGCGAATTCTGAGAACTCAATCAACCAAATCAATCCTAATTTCGCAAATGCCAATGATCTACGAACAGGTTCAGGGGAAAAAGTTCAATATAACAGATTATGGTATATGTGACATCGATGACATTCTTGATGCTCTGGTGAATACGAATGTTGTAGTTGTTACTTCAATTCCACATTTAATGGACACAATGATATCCATTCCGAAACGAAAACAGTCTGCAGCTGAAGTTGAAAAGACTAGTAATTTTGCGGGTGAAGTTTTGGAATTGTTTAAACACGCATCTCAATATACAATTTTGTTTGAAAAGTTTGCTTGTTCATATCATTATCATTTTGGTTACCAATGTCGTTTATCAGACTATGGATTTTTAAAACTAGCTGATCTAATGGAATCTATCGCTGGCATTGTTGAGGTTGGTAAAAAAGCAGCAAGTTAGGAATATAATTCCACCATCAAAATTAATCAATTGAGCACATGACGGATTTTTATTTCTAGATGGAGTTCTCCAATGAGGAAGACAGGAAGATTTTTTTATCGCCAACAACAGCTCAACGAATTTTTTCAGAACAAATAAAAACTTTAGTTGAATCATATTCTGGAACTAGTGACACAATGATAAACTTGCATGAAATTCTAATATATCACAAGAAACATTATGGATATCAAATAGTTCCACAAACCTTGGGCTTCGATGAGTGGTCAATTTGTATAAATTCTCTTCCGTATATAGAAGTAATTTAAAATGCATTTTTTCCGCAGGAAAAGACAAAAATTCGATAATTGAATTTAATTTCAGGTTTTAACATCCAATGGAATTATAAGTATTAAATGTCATCATGATGATGAGCATTTTCGTCAAATGTCCTATGCTGCAGTTCGTTTATTACTTGAGAATAAGCAAAAGAAATTGACACAATCAGAATTTATCCAAATGTTCTCTGAAAAATACAATGATGTTATTGATGAACATTTAATAAAATCAATGAAGCACGCTTTAAAAGTAAATATCTATCTTGCATAAGTTGAAAAAAATTCTGGAAAATTCTTATACAAATATTTTTTTTTAATTTATAGATTCATTGCACAAACAACTCAAAATACGTAAAAATGTCAGAATTAATGACTTTTGTTATTGATTTGATGGACTTTATAGAAGTTCGAGGAACTGTTAAATTACAAGATTTATTCAACGGAATGAAATTGTCTATTAAAGCATGTTTTCCATTTGGTAAGATACTTATACACTATACATTATAAGTATTTATATATAAATTGATTGTTTTTTATAGGATATCCAAATTTAACTACATTTCTATTAGCATTCCCCGACATATTTGTGTTAACATTGTCAAAGTCCAACAATGTCCGGAATGAGGTTACAGTAAATTCGCATTGTATTCGTAAGTTTTATGTTCGTTTGAAAATCAGATGTCATATAATATATATTCTTTTCATTTACAGTATCTAAAACAAACTATCCAAGTGATAATAACAATGAACTTGAAGCCGTCAATTATAATAGAACGAATGAAAACGATTCACATTTTTCTAGTAAGGCTATGATGGATTTGAAGTCTTCTGTACAAAATTCACAATCCAATGACATTGAAAAAGTGAATGATATAAGCGTAACTTTTGATAGCTTATTCAATAATACT